TTCTAAGAGAGTTCACTTATTCTATTTCCATTCTACTTTGACTCATGACTGACTCTGCCTGTCACACACACTCTGACTCTAGCCATACCACCTCTCTTGTCCTTTTTGAAAGCTGTATCTTATTCAGCTATTCCTTCTATTCAGAATGCCTTATCTGTCTGGTATACTTCCTGCTTACTCTTCAAGGCCCAGATAAATGTCACTTCCTCTATTAAGCTTTCCCTAATCCCCACCCTTGGGCAAAATTAATAGCTTCCACCTTCTTTCATATGCATTCATATAAGCACTAAAAGATAATGTATATGTTCTATTAAATTAATTGAATATGTATTTTAATTTTTTCACTTCATCGTAAACTTTGGAAGCACCAGCTGATTCTTCATATCAGCAGTCTTTTCTTTTATAATATCAAATTATTTTAGGTCATAATAGTGCTCATTAAATGTTTGGATCAAATACAATTGAATTGAAGTGCCAGATCTCTGTAGTATGTCCGCCATGCAACTCTACTACCCTAAGGTGGGGTTTTTTTGTTTATTTTTGTTTTTTTGAGACAGAGTCTTGCGATGACACCTAGGCTAGGATGCAGTGGTGCAATCTCGGCTCACTGAAACCTCCACCTCCCAGGCTCAACCATTCCTCCCACTTCAGCCTCCTGAGTACTGGTGCATACCACCATGTCCAGCTAATACGTTTGTATTTTTTTGTAGAGACAAGGTTTCTCCATGTTGCCCAGGCTGGTCTCTAACTACTGGGCTCAAGCAATCTGCCCACCTCAGCCTCCAAAACTGCTGGGATTACAGGCGTGAGCAACCACGCCCAGTCACTCTGAGTTTTTGAGACAGATTTGAGGACTAACGGAATAGCTAACTTCCCTGGGACATCCAGGGTTTTTACCAGAAAAGGATCACCAAGGCTGACGATTTTATAAGGAGCTCAGCCTAAAGGCTTTGGATAGTGCACACCTGCTCCTTGCCAGGGCATTGGCTGCTCAAGAAGCAGAGTGTTCTGGACTAGATAGGCAATATACTACAACATAATTCTGATACTAACCCCCGAAATTAGTTGTCAGGCCATACAGGTTAAGAGCATTGTTCCCAACCAGATTGCTCTCACTTTAAATCCCAGCTACAAGTTCAGGGGACCCCAGACTACTCACACTTCTGACAAACTGCCTACAAATCCTAAGGATTCCCATGACCTGCCTCATTGATAATTTGCTAGAATAACTCACAGAACCTAGGAAAGTGCTATACTTCCTATTTCAGTTTTATTAAAGAGAATAAAATCAGGACCAGCTAAATGAAAAGGGCAAGGTCTAGGAGGGTCCCAAACACAGAGCCTCCATATCTTCTCCCCCTGGAATTAGAACACATCTCCCCCAGCACTCTCCCACACTCTGCCAGCACATCCATGTGTTCACCAGCCAGGAAGCTCCATCAAGTTTTTATTGATGTATCTTTACATAGGCGTGATTGATTGAATCATCGCCACTTGACTGATCTCAATCTCTAGGTTTCCTTCCTGGGGCCGATATCACTAGTTTCAAAGCTGCAATCCTCTTACCATATTGTTGGTCTTAACCAGCACCATCCTGAGTCATCACCATAGCATAAACTCAGGTATGATCCACCACGGATAACAAAGGCACTTCTAACACTCATGAAATTCCAAGAGGTTAGAAACTCCATCCCAGGACACCAGGACAAAGATGAGACAAATTCTTTATTATCACCTTGATTCAATTTGGTAACTCAGTCAGATTGGATCTCTCTTTATCTTGGCCTCAAATAACCATGGAAATACTTCAGGGCATCTGAACAACTCCACGCCAGCTAATCCTCTATCTCTCTTCTGCCTTTTCAGGTACTTTGGTCCAGTCAAACAAAGGTAGGAGAAATGGCTTCTTTCTATACTCACATTCAGAAAATTGATGGAAATTTGGCTTCCTACAACAGTAGTCCTGCAGGAGCAAACAGTTTAGAATGAATAAAAGCATGGGGATAGATGGGCGATGTCTCTATTGTCAACCAAATCAGTGGCCTGTCATAACCTATTGTGGGCAACTTTCCTGTAGCTAAGCATTTAACTGGTTTCTTATAGGAGAAACAGGATCCTAGTAGCTAGACACATCTCAAACCGTG